GAGGGGGGAGGGAGCTTGCGCTGTACTATAGTGACAAAATCTCTCTCTGTTCTTCTGCTCGATCGAGTAATATTTTTATCGATTCGCTGCATTCATCCATGCGTAAACGGCCGCGTCATTCGCTTCAAACGTTAACTATATAAACGATTCAAAATTTCAGCATTTCATGTATGTTACCCTACTAACTACCCATTTGAGCCCCTCCCCCCACAGGTAGCCTTTATCTATAACATGGCCAAGGCATGTTTTTGGCCAATTTACTAATGTAGTCCTCTGAAACTCTTAACGCCTTGCCGATCAAACGAAAAGCAAATAAAAATATTTACCATTAATATAATACGATATCGAATGAGAAAAATCCACGCGAGGTGAACAAAATTATCTTGCAGCAAAATAACGATGCATAACAGCTCTATGGAACTTGCTCGGGATAAACACTGATCTAGAACACGTAAGTGTATTTATTTTACTCTATAACACTATAATATGTAGGTATACTTGGACTAGAGGGAGGGTCAAAATCGTAAATAATATCCTATGTCGATTAAACCGTCACATCGGAACTTTTATTAAAGTAATTGATTTTAATATTCGTAATTTTATATTTACTTACTTCTATCCTAAGAGTTTCGGTTTCATCGTTATTGTAATTTTTTTTAGTTAGGTTGAACAAACATTGATTTTGAATAATTAAAATAATAACCCCATTATGATTTGCTGGATTTCCTACCCATTGCCACCAAATCTCTCATTATGTACGTACTCTAACAATATAATGCTCTCCAGTTCTAGCCGAAACAAATACGTTTCGAATCGATGGTGATGACGAGAATAAGAAGGGTGGCTACATATTATTATTTTGCAATAAAATAATTACTTCATTAAATTACGGTAAAAAATGTAGAGCTTTTTAGTTATTTTATCACGCAATATTTTAGGTATTTGTTAAAACATCAATACGTTCATCAATATGTGTTCGTGCGTAACATCACGTATTACCGTATTATACCTATACATCACGCTGTGATATAATTATTAATGTTATATTAATTTAATGACGGATTTATTTGCCAGACTTTTTTTCTGATAGCTATTATTTTTTCCTACGTTTTAATGTATTTATAAATTTATTGATTTCGTTATCGTCATCGTAGTTCTTGGTAAAAAAAAAAAGCGCAGGTACAGGCTATGTGGCGTGTGAGATTGTGGTGAAAAAAAAATAACGATGTTACGAAAAAGGTCTTACGGGTCCGCTGGCATGATGTAGTGAGAAGCGTCGGTCTGACTGCGGCGTCCCTGCGCTGTCGTCGACGTAGACGTTGCAGCTGCGTGACCGATGTTACGGTTGTTTTCGGCGGCGGCGGCATGGTAAGCCCCAGGGCTGTTTGTCATTCCGGCACCGCACCGCCGCTACGGCATAGCTCGCAACGACCTCGTGACCTGCAAAACACCAACCGACAAACGGACGTTGAATATCATTAATGTCATTATTAACATTTTATATAATATTATACAGGGCGATTGTATATATGGACGACAAAAGCCAACGGTTATCTGTCGAGATTTTAAGTTTATTCTATTTTTTATTCTATTTTTCTCCTATTCAGACGATCAAATATACAGAAATGCGCACGCTGTAATTTCGTGAAGTACCACCGACGGCTCGGATAAGTTCTATTTGCCTATAGTTAAACCCATTATTTGAGATCAATTAACTTGAAAACATTTAAAAACACGAGTCTCCGTGAAAAATATTGTTTCATTAAAAATCTGAATTTTTTTTGAAATAAATACGTTTGAAACAAGAATGACAGCTACGTGCTTAGATGTTTGAAAATCCGATATCGAATAATTTCAAAACCTGCGATGCGAGCAATCAGAGTTTAGTAACGAAACTATATCTATTTGCTTTCGCCGTAGACCTACAATTTTATTGTTATGATAAAATACTACGTCAATATAATATATTACATTTCGATACCAGACTACGTGGCGTGGTAACAACTGCAGCACAAGCAGCAATCTTCACTTGTGTAAGTATACCGCAGTTAGCTATATACGTCATATTATAAGTAAAGGACTATAATATAATATAACATAATAATCTGGGTCGGTGTGCTCTATAGTCTATATAACATTATGCTTGATGAATTCCAACTGCTGTTCACACACTTGAATTCGTTATTGATCGTGTTCCATCGAATACATTTAAATTATAATATGATACTGTAGGTACCTTTTACAATGAAAGATATGAAGGCGTTAACCGTTTAATTTTTTCATTTCTTATAGTAGAACAAAATAAAAATGTTAATCTTTAATCTCACTCACTCACCGGAATACATTCCTATATTTCTTGTAAAACAGTGTTCATAAAAATATTATGACCAATACAACATAAGTCACCGAGCAGTGTGCCTCAAAACATTTGTAATGTTTGAAATAAATTTCATTGCATAGGTAACGATATGTCGTATAAACAGTATTATCATGTCTTGTTAATAGTAATTATGATGTCCCTCTCTCTCTTTCACCGAAACATTTTCTGGGTTTTTTAAACTTCACATACAACGAAATTGAAATCCAAAACAAAAAGGGTTTGAATTAGTTATATTCACACATATACGCATAATATAGTGGTTATACCTTCAACTTATTCAAACACGCGTTGAATAAAACAAAAACAAAAATGGGTTTTGAAATTGATTGCCGATGGCATGCACCGATTGTAACAGTAATTACCATTAATCTATGTGCTAAATTACATTACAGTCTATTATTCGAATTTCATTATACTCCCTATACATTTTCCGCTCTTGTAGAGATTAAAAGTAACCATCGTCGAATTAAATTTAAATAAACAAAATTACAACTGCTATGTTTATTTGAAAATAGTATGTTGTTCTAATTAAAAATAATTATTTTGAGTTTTCACGGTTGGTTTTTAAATTGCCTCATTAAATAATAACGATATATGTGAAATCTGTTTGTTAACAAACATAGTTTTAGTACGTAAAAAATTATTATGATATAGCATATTATGCCTATTATGGTATAGGTAAAGGGCTAACTATTATTCAGCAAGAGAATAAAAAATCCGGACGATTAATGTTTAAATAATATTGAAATGTGAGTGGGAGTTAAAATATTTTCAAATCGCAGTCATGGTATATACTTATGATATTCTACACTATTCTATGAAATCTGTTTAACATAGTTCTTGAATTTTTAGCGATAACTTCGTCTTACGTCATGATAATATGTCAAGTAGTAATAACTCTAGCGGTATGTCATCAATGGAGGATTTAGAATGTTAACTTTTTCACATTTGTATTGCATTACAATATTATTAACTAGTAAAAGAAATGTAACGTTTTGCATGGCTGCACCTATATTATAGCAACAATAATATTGTATAAAATATTCAAGTTTGACGTCATTAAGAACCCATTCATAGTAAACGAGCGTTCGTATATCTAATTAATAACAATGGTCACTACAGCTTACTACTATGAGCATATGCCTCGAAAACGATTTATACCAACACGAGTGCATTTAAAATATTCTCGTATTCATATGGACATGGGCACACTCGTATAATACACATAATGAAATACATAATATTATAATACAATTGCAACGAGTTACAAGACGTTTTTGAGTCAATCTGAAGTAAATTTGACGTGGACGCGTCGATTCCAGCAATTTTGAACGCATCTGACGTCAAATGTCTCAACACTACCGCATTTCTCGAAATTACCCCAAATTTCTACTATTTCTTGGTGTATTTAAATTATAATAATATACCATTACACATTGTGTGAATAAGCCTAGTAATTTTGTTAGACGAACCAAATGGTCGAAACTGGATAATGCATAATCCCGGAACAAATGTATTTATGTGCGTTTCACGTAGCTGGTAGGTACTGTCAGAAAATTATTAAAAAGCAAATTCAAAGATTTTTTTTTAGGAAAATAATTAAAGCGTTATGTTACACTTAAATGTATCTCTTTTATGCATATTATACTAAGTATTATAGGTTCAATATTGTACTCGAATGTTTCAGGAAAAGTATTATACCAAGATTTTCTTTTTAGTAACGTATATAACGAAAGTCATCGTTGCAGCTTTCAGATTAAATACCATCGATATATTTTAGACTGGAATAGATTATTATTTTCTCAGGAATAACAGAAGTTTTCTACAGTGACTTTAATGAAATTAAAAACATAACAGCCACAGATCTATAAAAATATTAAATACTCGTATAGCATCATGCAATACATTAATCTTTAAAATATGCTAGGATAGATAGTATAAGAAAATAATACGGTTTTGATTCTATTTCACATACTGTAACGTTTTAGCTTCAATTTCAATTTCAAACAACCATAAATATAGCGTGTGCTAATATATGTTTTCAAATAATTTAACTCGATCTAATATAGGTATAGTATGTACATCGAAGTGTGAAAATAGAATCCTTTTATACGAAATAAGACATAAAAATAAAAAACAAAAAATAAATTAATTTGTGGTATATAATATTATGTTAAAATGTCATGTCGAGCTAAAAAGTTTTTGATTTACGAACAAAAGTATTTGCAAAGTGGTATTATATAATTTAAATAAAAACTATTATTTTTGTATTTACAGGAATTCATTGTTACCGAGACTCCAAAAACTTCCATAACAGTGATATGATAAGATATCGATCAATGGCAATAGATTACGCAAAACGGTGTCATTGTAAAAAATGTATTTTCCAGTTAATTGAAATACGATTTATTATTGTATTATTGATAGAAGTTGTCGCAAATACCAATCGCATACACTATGTTTTCCGCAGTTTAATTTTTATGTATATTTTACGGGTATGAAATAAATATTTTTTACGATAATTCATGAGATATATACAGAACGATTTGTAAATTCTATAACTATATTTTATAAGTAATAAGCTATAGAAAAACTAGATCTAAATATATTTTATACGTACAATATTGCTTTATTAAGTTATAACACCGTATGAAATTGTATGTATCGAAAACAGGCGCAAATGTGTTAAACAATATTGGTAAAAAATCAAATCTTAACGTGGCTAAAATTAATAATTCCGTTTTAATGGCATACTGCTAATACATTTTCATAATATTATAATTGGTTATACAATATCTATTGCACGTCAAGTGCTTTTGTATGTTTCAAATATTTTTTTAAATTCATTTTCAAAAGTGGGTAAACAAACTTTAAACAACTATTTTCTTTTATTACACCTAAACTTCCGGTTTATTGTTTCTAAATACATTTAATGACTAAAATATTTTCATCGTAATTTATAAATTAGAGGCAAAGTTCGGTGCTCGTTGAATTTTATGCATCATACTACCTATAATTATGATTTAAAACTAATTTGTGGGTATATATGTATATGGTATGAAACTTTTATGATATATATATATATATAATGGCTAATATTGATAAAAATCGAAACAAAAACCATTAATTGTCCATAAAAATCATATAGAACAAATGTGTGCGTTTTACAATGTAATTATTTGTATATCATGGTTATATTATTTTTATTATTATCATACATCTATCCGTTATGGTTCTGTACATCCAAACAGATACAGCCAGATCTGCAGAAATTATTTTTTATATACATTGTAATTTATGGTGCATTACGAAATGTTCCCTTCGCCCTTTAATAATATAAATATTATAACTCCGATTTTTAAAATTTTTGAATAAACTTTAAATTTTAAAACCAAAATATTTGTACACTTACATTTTAAATTAATGTAAACAGTATACTATGGAGATACAAATTACTTTTTTTATTCGTTGAAAAACACCGTTTTATTATAAATTGTTAATCAAAATCTAAGTATTTGGAATTTAAATTATGTCTGAGCACTATAAAAAATTACGAATTTCAAAATTTGAATAAATGCATTATCAATAGATATAAGGGGTGAGCATACTTGGTGAATTACTTTGCATTATATATTATATTGTGTAATCATAATTCATATTATTATGTTTAAAAATGAAAATGCATTAAAAATAATGTTACGATGAGGTGTACCTATTTTGCCTACCCATAGTGCCGTGTTAAAAAAAATTTTATTTTGGGAATGCATTAAACAGACATTAAATTTGTATGAGATACGTTATAGGTACTTAAATAAATAAGAGTCAGAGATCTTAGAATTATTGAAGAATAAGAAGCTTAGACCAAATTATGTAATTTTGTGATTCTAAAAATAAAACATGTTGTCGATAAGTATAATCATCTCAAAATTGATTAATATTTATTATGCGCTTAATGAAATATATTTAAGCATTTATGCTGTTCAGAAAACCTGATGGGTAAATTATAAATGTTTTTATATTTATTTTTTCTTATGATTTTTTTACGAGAATAATCTATATA